CAGCCTGGGCTGGAGTTTTACTTGGGACACTGGAGTCTTCTTTGCTGTAAACTGGACGGCCTCCCCTGAGCTGATTTCTGCAACACATATTTTCGTCTCGCAGGGGTTTTGGGGTAGTGCCAGATGTTCTCCTCACCCACAATGCACACATCCTGCTTCCTTAGCAGCACCAGGAATTGTCTGTACTGTGATTTTCCAGGAGGCTCCGAACTTCCTCCATGAAAAAGGGGTTCATCCTCCTCATCACTGGGTGGGCTTCCTGGCTGACCCCCCGTTCTCTTGTGGATGATGGGCTTTTGCTTGATGGGTTCCCCATAGACAATGCACAGGTCTGGCTCCTTGCAAGTATCAAACATCATCATCCTGGCTGTGGTCCAACTGGGCTCGCTTGCAACCTTCTTTGTGGCACGGGCGTCTTCTGCTTCATTTACTGGACTGCCACTTTCCCTTTGCCTATTTAGGAAAGTAGATAGTTGAAACAAGGTATCTTGAGAAACAGGAATACAGAGAATTACAAGCATAAGAAGTATCCTGTTCAGCTCAGCCTTCAAAGGATACATTGTGTGTCCCATATGCACACTAGACACTCTCCATCTTACTGTTTTAGGAAAATAGCTCAGAAATGAATGTTTTCCTTCATGATCCTCATATACACAAGAGGATAGTAACTTTGGCCACTTAGCTCTGTACTGCCTACACTGACTGGCAGCAGCTCTCCAGTGTTTCATACAGGAAGCCTCTCCCAAGCCCTACATGGAGATACCGGGGATTGAACGTGCCACCTTTTGCAATGTAAGGGAGGCACTCTACCACTGAGCTGCCTTCCTTCCTCCTAAGACTCTTTTGATCTTTGCTCCAGGAAATGTAGCAACCTCCACCTGCAGAAGCCCTAATACACATCCTGTCCCTCTTTTCCTTTCCGTTGTGGACTCTGGGTTGCAGGTTCTGCCTTAAACAAGCTCCCCCTTAGTGAAAAATGTAAATATAAGAGAGACAGAAAGAATTACAGGGATAAAGTGTGGGGGAAACGAATATAAGGTTAAAGCCTTCGCTGACAATATAGTCTTGACAATACAAGAACCTTTAACTTTGACAGCGGAAGCATTAAAAGTAATTGAAGAATTTGGCATGTTGGCAGGATTGAAAATTAATAAGGGTAAAACAAAAATGATGGTGAAAAACATGAACGTGGAACAAACAGATCACCTGCAAAGTAAAACGGAAATAACAGTGGTAATGAAAAGAAAATATTTGGGGGTCTGGCTCTCCCCGAAAAACACAAACCTATTCAAGGACAATTATAAAACAACATGGAAAGAAAGAAAGACAAATTTGGAAATATGGGACAGATTGAAAGTGTCCTTCGGGGGAATGATAGCAGCTGTCAAGATGAGTGTCTTACCTAAGATGCTTTTTTAAATTCCAAACTGTGCCTATTGTTGCCGGATTAGGTCAATTCAGTGAGTGGCAAAAAATGATTTCTAGGTTTGTATGGCAAGGGAAGAAACCTAGAATAAAGTTTAAACTTCTGATGGATAAAAAGGAAAGAGGAGGCTTCTCGTTACCGGATCTTAAAATATATTATGAAGCCGCTTCTATAACATGGTTAAAAGAATGGCTTAGTTTGAAGAACACAGACGTATTAGATCTAGAGAGGTTTGGAAATAGATACGGGTGGCACGCATACCTTTGGTATGACAAGGATGGAGTACACCGAGACTTTCTAGATCATATTATAAAAAGATCATTGTATGAAGTTTGGAAGAGATATAAAGAGTGGTTTGAAAGGAAAACACCATGGTGGCTGTAACCCCAAGAAGCCTTCTCAGTGAAAAAATTAAATATGAAAGGAGAATGGCTAACGCACAGAGACATATTTATAGAATGAAATAATGTAATAAAGATCAGGCCTTACGAGGAACTAAAAGATAAATTATCAGGTTGGATGGAGTATCACCAAATGAATGACATTTTCTCAAAAGATAAAAAAGCAAGAGGTTTTGAACAAACCAAATCAATTTTAGAAACTACAATATTACAAAACACAAAAATATTGTCAAAGGTCTGTGAGTTTTTATTAGAATGGTGTACAAAAGACGAAGAAATCAAGAGCGTCATGATTAAATGGGCAATGGATGTTGGCCATAGCACTGAATATGAGAAGTGGATAAAACTATGGAACACTGGACTAAAATTCACAGCATGTACTTTGTTAAAAGAAAATCTGTTAAAAATGATGTACAGATGGTTGTTGTTGTTTAGTCGTTTAGTCGTGTCCGACTCTTCGTGACCCCATGGACCAGAGCACGCCAGGCACGCCATGGACCAGAGCACGCCATGGACCAGAGCACGCCAGGCATGCCATGGACTAGAGTACAGATGGTACCTCACTCCAACTAACCCGTTAAGGATGTACAAAACAGGAAACAAGAATTGCTGTAAATGTGGGGTGAAAAAGGTAATTTCTTTCACATGCGGTGGTCATGTGATAGGTAAAAACATACTGGGAAAATATATACAATGAGCTAAAGAAGATCTTTAGATATATGTTTTTGAAAAAGCCAGAGGCATTCTTGTTAGGAAGAGTAGGAGAAGATCTGGTTAAGAACGACCAGAAACTGTTTTTATATGCAACAAAAGCGGCGAGGTTCCTGTTAGCGTAGTTTTGGAAACAGAAGCAATTACCAACAGTGGAAGAATGGAGACAGAAGGTAATGGAATATGCAGAAATAGCCAAACTAACAGGGAAAATTCGACAACAGGGTGAGGAAACATTTCAAAAGAATCGGAAAATTTTATGTTGTATAAAGGGAAGGAAAGATGAAATAGTAAAACTAGTAGAATTGGAAACAAACCTCATAATGGGAAAGATTAAGAAAAGTGATGGATAATGAAAATATTAAGAAGCAAAATGTATAAGGAAACTAATATAACTAACAGTAGTGGTAAATGGAAATATGGGACAGATTTCCAAATATGGGACAAATATGGAGGAGACTCTTGAGAGTCCCATGGACTGCAAGAAGATCAAACCTCTCCATTCGGAAGGAAATTAGCCCTGAGTGCTCACTGGAAGGACAGATCGTGAAGCTGAGGCTCCAATACTTTGGCCACCTCATGAGAAGAGAAGACTCCCTGGAAAAGACCCTGATGTTGGGAAAGATGGAGGGCACAAGGAGAAGGGGGCGACAGAGAACGAGATGGTTGGATGGTGTTCTTGAAGCTACCAGCATGAGTTTGATCATACTGCGGGAGGCAGTGGAGGACAGAAGTGCCTGGCGTGCTCTGGTCCATGGGGTCACGAAGAGTCAGACACGACTAAACGACTAAACAACAACAAAAGTGGTAAATGAATACAGATTGACAACAAGAATTGTATAAACCTGAGGACTTATTTGTTTATGGATAAACTATGCTCAAATATGGAAAATGATAACAATATATAAAATGGAAGAAAATAATGCGATAGAATTATATGTGATATAAAAACCAGAACAAAGAAGGAGGCAAGTCAGCTTTGAAGACCAAGTATAAATGTAAAATGTAATACAATATGTGTATGTATATGTGTATGTGTATGTGGAGTATCTAATTGAAAAACCAATAAAAGCACAAAAGGCAAGAGGCTGCCTTCCGGACCCCACCCCATCTCAACCTCCCAGGGGAAGAAATCTCTCTCTTGCACCCTTCCTTGCTACCCACATTCCTCCTCCTGCACAGTGAGAAATCCCTTGTTTTCACTTTCTCATTCTTCCAAAGGGCTGTCATCCTTTGACTCACCCAGGTCCCCTTGGGGCTAAGGACTCTCCCTTAAGCAATCATTGTGAAATCTTTAATTCATGCAAAAGGCAAGGAGAAAGAAGCTACCTTCCTGACCCCACCCCAGTTTACCCATCCATGGGAAGAATTCCCTCTCTTGCACTCTTCCTCCTTTGACTCACCCAGGTCCCCTTAGGGATAAGGAACGTCTACACTCGAGGCCCAGAGCAGCAGCCCCTTGTGAGATCAAGTCTGCATTTCAAATGCCACAAAGGAGAAGAAAGAGGGGAAAAACAGGGACCCCCAGTTCAGAATTTTCTACCCAATCCCAGCATGTCTTGTCTTGAGTTCTTGGTAGGCTCCAGCTCACCCCTTCTTCTAGATATTGGTGAATTCACAAACTTTCCTTCTTCATCTCAAGCCCCTTCATTGTCCCACTTGGGTGTTTGCTCAGATAAATGGGGCCAGGTGTTGATCGTTTATGTGGGAAGTGCAAAGGCTGCTGGGAATTGGAGTCCACAGAAAAACAAACTGTGGCAGGGCAGAAGTGTGATCTGAAAAGAGAAATTAAACAGCAGAGAGAGAGAAAGAAATGCCCTCTTTTTCCCTCTTGCACTTTGATTTATAGCTTTCTTCTTTTGTTTTTAAATTGTGGCTTGGTTTCACATATTGTCAACATAATAACATCAACTTTTGTGGTTTTCTTACAAAAAGACTCCTCCTCCTCCATGTGCCTCCGACACGAGAGGCCGGGAGCCTGGCAACCTGAGAACAGGCCTTTCCTGAGGTGCCTCCTCACTCCTGGAACACTCTTCCCAAGGAGGCTCTCCTGGTGCCTGCCTTCCTTATTTTTAGGCACCAGCCGTTCAGCCAATGAGTGAATGCAGAGCTGTGAGTGATTTAGATATCAGGCAATAGGAATCCCCTGAGTCCTCAAAAGCTGCTTCTCCCTTCCTTTGAGTGTACTTATTCTGATCCTTGGGCCTTTAACAGCTGTGTAGCAGGCAGAATTTCAACAGGTCAAGCTATTTCTCAAAGGGAAATATAACTTTAGTGAAGCTTTCACATTCTGTCTGTCACAATTCCAGTTACAGGTGCAACCACTGATTTATGGTTGATAAAGTCTTCATATATACAGAGGACCAAGTCTTACTGAATAAAATCCAGCTTGGCTTCTGCAATTCACCAATCTTTTAGGGTTCTTTGAGCATCTAGGGTAAAGTGGTTTAACCATCAGTTCCTCTCCCCTAGTAACGCTGGAAGCTGTAGCACTGTGAGGAGAATAGCAGATCTCCCCTAACCCATCTCAGCACTCTTAACAGCCTTCAGCTCCCAGAATTCCTTGGGGGAAGCCATGACTGTTTAAAGCGGTATCCCATTGCTTTTACTGCATGGTGTGAATGGGGGCTGAGTGTGCTGGAGACTGCAATCTAAATTGTAAAGCTGCATCCATTTTTGTTGTGAGGAGCAAGTGAAAACAGAACAGCACAAAGCATAATATTTACACAACTTTATTATTCAGGATTGGTAGTCTCAAAACAAATCTAAAAAGTAGAAGCAGCTACTGTGCCAATTTTACATTTCCAACGGGGAAGCCTCTGAAGCCTTTCAAACTTCCCTTCCTTCCTTGGTTCAATCCTTCTCTTTGGTTTCAAGAGCCTAAATTATCCCCAACTTGGTTAATTCAGCCGGATGAACAGAAGAGCCCTCACATTTATTGGGGTGCCAAGAGAAATTCCCAATGTCAAGAGAGAAAGGTGCTGGTTGACTGTGCTCTGGGGCCAAGGAAAGAACACCTGAGGCAATGTATTTTAGCCATTTAAAAGACTCAAGAACCCACCCAAAGCATGGATTATGTGTGTGTATTGGGAGATTCAGGGGGGATGTGACCTCTGGGTGGCTCCTGCGATGCCCAAGAGATGGACGCCGAGACTGAGGTCACATCTGCACTAAACATTTAAAGCTCCTTTGTAGCTATTATATGGCTTTCTCAAACGAATTCTGGAAACAGTAGTTTCAACCTCATAGGTCTAAATTCTGGACACCTTTATGAACACCTTCAAGTTCCCGGTATTCTTTAGGGGGAAGCTTTAAATATATTGTGTGGATGCGACTTTCTTAGGATAGTTGAGGAAGTTACATGGTTTCCATCCGTTGTGCGTTCTCACCTTCATGAGGTCTCGATTCATCATCTAAACGCTCACTGAGATTTGAATCCTGGTTGGGTGTCTCCCTTGTGTGGAGCTTTTGATGCCTCTGCAGGTCTGATTTACTTGCGAAGCTCTTTCCACATTGTTCACACTTGTACAGTTTCTCTCCTGTGTGAGTTCTTTCATGTACTTTAAGGTTCGACATCTGTGTGAAATGTTTTCCACACAGAGAACATTTGTAGGGCTTCTCCCCTGACCCCACCCCAGTTTACCCATCCATGGGAAGAATTCCCTCTCTTGCACTCTTCCTCCTTTGACTCACCCAGGTCCCCTTAGGGATAAGGAATGTCTACACTCGAGGCCCAGAGCAGGAGCCCCTTGTGAGATCAAGTCTGCATTTCAAATGCCACAAAGAGGATGAAAGAGGGGGGAAACAGGGACCCCCAGTTCAGAATTTTCTACCCAATCCCAGCATGTCTTATCTTGAGTTCTTGGTAGGCTCCAGCTCACCTGTTCTGGTAGACATTGGTGAATTCACAGACTTTCCTTCTTCATCTCAAGCCCCTTCACTGACCCACTTGGGTGTTTGCTCAGCTAAATGGGGCCAGGTGTTAATCGTTGATGTGGGAAGTGCAAAGGCTGCTGGGAATTGGAGTCCACAGAAAAACAAACTGGCAGGGCGGAAGTGTGATCTGAAAAGAGAAATTAAACAGCAGAGAGAGAAAGACAGAAATGTCCTCTTTTCCCCTCCTGCGCTTTGAGTTATAGCTTTCTTGTTTTTTGTTCTTGTTTAAATTGTGGCCTGGTTTCACATACTGTCAATATAATAACAACAACTTTTGTGGTTTTCTTAATTTTTTTTTGACCCTGGTAATGTTAGCTTGACCATAAGCTAGTCCAGCATTCTATTTTCTACAGTGGCCAATCGGATAGCTCTAGGAAGACCAGTTACTGGACGTAGAAGACCCAGAATCTGGTGTTCAGAAGTTGAGGGGTCCTGAACATGATGGTACTATTGTGCACCAAACCTTTTGTAGCAATGAATTTTATACACTGTAGGGTTGCCATATGTCTGGGGAAACCTGGACATGTCCTCTTTGGGGGCGCAACATGCCCACCTGGGCAGACTTTTTCTTTTTAAAGGAAATGTCTAGGTTTGGGGAGGATTATTTGTGCTCAGGCAGCTGGAGACAGGCCTGCTGCTCCAATGGTTTTAACTGTTTTACATTTGTGTGTGTTTGGTTGTTCTCTGTTATTATTGAGGGAGTGGAGATGTGTCTGGAAGGAGAGGAGCTGGGAAGAATAGCAGAGTCCCCCACCATAGTGGTTCAGGGTAGGGAGAGGTGAGGGAGACTGGGTTATGCCCAGATGGCACACTCCCTGCTGGTGTTAACCCTTGCCGGTCTTCAAGCCATCAGGCTGAAGCTGGATAGACAGATTTTAGCCCATTAACCTTAATTATGGTGTCTTGTGTCGTTATTTACCACTGGTGGGAGGCGGGAACTCGCCACGCAAGGGAGATACCTTTTCCAGAGCTGCGCGTACCGCAGGACACTCAGAGTTTGGGGGGCTTGCAGGCACCCCCAGGGCATTTCCCAACCATCAGCACCAAGGCGACTGGCTGTGGATGCCATGATGACCATGCGTCTGTCTCCACATGTCACCGCCCGAGGCATGTGGCCGGCCACACTCTGGTCCTTGCTTAATCAATTGGGGTTTAAGAGGGGGTTGCAAAAATGGGGGCTATTGACAGCAGTCCCATTTAGGGAACCTGAGAACAGGCCTTTCCTGAGGAGCCTCCTCACTCCTGGAACGCTCTTCCCAGGGAGGTTCTCCTGGTTCTTTCCTTCCTTATTTTTAGGCCCCAGCCATTCAGCCAATGAGTGAAAGCAGAGCTGTGAGTGATTTGTGAGTGGTTTAGATACCAGGCAACAGGAATCCCCAGAGTCCTCAAAAGCTGCTTCTCCCTTCCTTTGAGTGTACTTATTCTGATCCTTGTGCCTTTAAGAGCTGTGTAGCAGGCAGAATTTCAACAGGTTAAGCTATTTCTCAAACGTAGGGAAAGTAGTTGTGAACAACAAACAAAACAACAAAAAGTACAAAGCGAAATTGAAAAATTTCTCCACAAGGCTTATATATAAATATATACAACTCAAGAGCAGTACAGTTTCCCCAGCAAACAAAACCTACATAGAGTGGGTTCTATGTCCATTACTTTTAGTGGGTCTATTGTAAGTTGGTGTAGCATGGGATGCCCTCAAAAATAGCCTTCAGCTCCCAGAATTCCTTGGGGGAAGCCATGACTGTTTAAAGCAGTATCACACTGCTTTCACTGCATGGCAAACCCAGCAATATGGGCCGGGTATAAAGAATAAATTATTATTATTATTATTTTTATTTATAATTATTATGTTGTGAATGTGTGCTAAGTGTGCTGGAAACTGCAACCTAAATTGGAAAGCTGCATCCATTTTTTGTTGTGAGGAGCCAGAGAAAACAGAAGAGTACAAACTGTAATATTTACACAACTTTATTATTCAGTGTCGGTAGTCTCAAAACAAATCTAAAAAGCAGAAGCAGCTACTGTGCCAATTTTACATTTCCAACAGGGAAGCCTCTGAAGCCTTTCAAACTTCCCTTCCTTCCTTGGGTCAATCCTTCTCTTTGGTTTCAAAAGCCTAAAGAATCACGTAAATTATCCCCAACATGGTTACTTCAGCCGGATGAATTCATTGGGGAGAAATTCCCAGGGTCAAGAGAGAAAGGTGCTGGTTGACTTTGCTCTGGCCAACGAAAGAGTTGAGTTTTCTCTAGATTCTCCCAAGAGCAATTTTCATGGCATAACTTATTAAAATGAAGGCACTTTATTATATGTAAAAAAACTTTTCAACAATCACATGGAATCCACACAAACAATAAACAACAAGCCAGTTGAGGCAATGAGTTTTAGTCACTTAAAAGACTCAAGAACCTGCCCAAAGCATGTATTATGTGTGTGTATTGGGAGGTTCAGGTGGGGACAGGCCTCTGGGTGGCTCCTGCGACGCCCAAAAGATGGAAACCGAGGCTGAGGTCACATTTGCACCACCCCTTTAAAGCACATTTATAGCTTTTCTATGGTTTGTTAAAATAATTCTGGAAACAGTAGTTTGTACTTCATAGATCTACAATTGCCAGCTCCCTTAAGAACTGAAGTTCCCAGGATTCCTTGGGGGGGAAGCTTTAAAAGTATTGTGTGGATGCAACCTTCTTACCATAGTTGAAGTTACATGGTTTAAATCCGCTGTGTGTTCTCACCTACATAAGGTCTCAATTCATCATCTAAACTCTGACTGAGATTTGAACCCTGGTTGGGCGTCTCCCTTGTGTGGTGCTTTTGATGCCTCTTGAGGTTTGATTTACGGGTGAAGCTCTTTCCACATATTGAGCATTCATGGGGTCTCTGCCCTTTGTGAATGCTCTGATGATTAGTAAGGGTTGACATCCTAGAAAAACATTTATTACAGACTGAACATTTGAAAGGTTTCTCCCCTGTGTGAGTTCTCTTATGTACTGTAAGGTATGAGCTGTGTGCGAAACATTTCCCACACTGAGAACATTTGTAGTGCTTCTTTGTGTGAGTTCTTTGATGTGCATTAAGGTATGAGCTGCGTGCGAAACGTTTCCCACACACAGAACATTTGTAGGGCTTCACCCCTGTGTGAATTATTTGATGTGCATTAAGGTTTGATCTCACATTAAAGCTTTTCTTGCACACTGTACATTTGAAAGGCTTCTCCCCTGTGTGGGTTCTTTTATGTACTTTAAGGGTCCATTTATTGCGGAAGCTCTTTCCACAGTCTGCACATTTATGTGATTTCTGTCCTGTGTGAATCTTCTCATGGGCAGCAAACTGCTTCTGATTCCTGAAGCTCCTGCCACACTCCAAACAAGTAAATCGCTTCACCTCTGTAGGGCATGTGGGGCTGTTTCCATTGTTTCTGCTCCCACTGCTTATTTCTCCAGATTCTGCCGTTTGAATTGTTTTCTCCTTTTTGGATGTTCTCAAAGCATCTCTGTTTTCTGGTTGTTCTCCTTGCTCAGTGAAGAAGCTACTTTGAGGAACGATGGATTTGTCTGTCTTCCGTTTTCTGTGGCTTCTCTTTTCCCTCCTTGGTCCATCGTGACTCAGGAGGTTCTGCTCCACCATCTCATCCTGTGCTTTTTTTGAAGATTTCCTTCTGTTCTCTCTCCACTGCACAACACCTGCTAGATAAAGAGAGAAGGAAAACATGGATGTCATAGAGAGATGGAAACAGAGTGATTCAATCTAATATATTTTGTATTTTGTTACACTTTTGGGGCCATTGCTGCCAAAGCGGGCAATGAGTTGCCATAATGGGTGACCTTTCTTTCCACTCTGCTCAATATCCTGAGTCTGGTTTTGCCATTGCGTCAGATTCACCAGCAAGTTCCTAATCTTTAGAGCAAATATTTTCTCAGTCTGCAGGTGGAAGCTTACACTGGCTTTTGGAAGCATAGCTATATTCTTTGTCCATCACGAGGTTAGATCAAGATTTCTAATTCTTGGTGCTTTGAAACTTTTCTAGTGCTCAAGAGCAGACAATACAGCCAAAGTAGCAGACTACGAACATAGGGAAAGTAGTTGTGAAGAAATAACAAAAAATCAAAAAGTACCCACCTAATTGGAAAAATTTGTCTACAAGGCTTACCGTATTTTTCGCTCTATAAGACGCACTTTTCCCCTCCTAAAAAGTAAGGGGAAGTGTGTGTGTGTCTTATGGAGCGAATGCAGGTGGGAGGCTCTGCTCAGCACTCCCCTTAAAGAGCTGTGTGGAGCGTGTGTGCGGCTCTTGGGTGCTTTTCCCCGAGGAGGAAAAGCGTTGTGATCCCGCTGGCTGTCCTGGCTTCTTGCTTAGCCGCACGCAGCCTCTCTCCGGCAGAGGTTGTGCGTGGCTACCCCATAAGCCCGGGCTGCGCAGTGATCCCACTTGCTTTCCTGGCTTCTGGGATTCAGAATTTTTCCTCTTGTTTTCCTCTTCCAAAAACTAGGTGCGTCTTATGGTCTGGTACATCTTATAGAGCGAAAAATACAGTGTGTATACACACACACACACACACACACACACACACACTGTGTACAACCCAAGAACAGTACAGTTTCCCCAGCAAAGAGTCCTGCTGTTTCCCCAGCAAGGAGAACCTAAATAGAGTGGGTTCTATGACAGAGCCAAAGTTTCATCAGTCTCCAATTGCAAGTTTAGATTGGCTTTAGGGAGCATAGCTATGTTGTTCGTCCTGGTTAGAGCAAGATATCTGATTCTTGATGCATTGAAACTGTCAGGGAACTGCCATCAGCTCAGAGGCGAGTGGTGGAAGAGCATTTGTGTTACAGGGAGCCTCCGAAGATCTTGCGAAGCAGTTCTTCCTCTACGAGGAGGGAAGCCCTGCCTCCAGTGGGGAAGGGGCGCAGGGATCAGAAGATGCTAGGGAGAGCCCCAACACCGAGCCTGAGCAAAGGGGAGGGGAGGCAAGTACCCCTTTGCCAGTGTCCACGTGTGCAGTAGGTTTGCACACACACAGAGAGGAGAAGGATGGGGGTCACACGACTGTTATGCTGGGTAAGGTATAAGGACCGCCCACTCCCAGATCCTGCTAGCAACTGAGCAGACATGGACTTGTGACTCTCTGCACTGTAAGACAGGCTGTACAGATAATAAAGCCTGGAAAAGACAGGTTGGAGTCTTGTCTGTTTGCTCTCGAGCAACCACACCATCACCTGACAGAAACTTTTCTAGTTCTTAAGAGTAGAATATACAACAAAATACTATGAGAAACAAATGAAACATCAAAAAGTACATAGATAAATTGAGAAATTTCTGCACAAGCCTTTGTTAGCAATTTCACTCTTCTGAGGCTGCATTTTGTGAATAGTGGAAATCACACGGTCTGTCGGAAAGGAAGCATGAGAACCGGATATAATCCTATCTATATGTATTATGTTTAGATCTACGGATAGTTTAGATCTACGGATGGTTCATTCTTCTTGCTGTGCATTGCCAGAAGATTAGCGTGCATAAATCAAGTTGGTTTATCTTGCTGGAGCGCCCTGGAGAAGAAGGGAATGCCTTTCCAGAGCTATGCTCTCCGGAGGATGCTCGGAGATTGGGGGGGGGGGCTGCAGATAGCCCGGAACGCTCTCCCAGCAGCCTTACATATATATAAAACTCAAGATCCTGTTTTTATTCCAAATGATTCTGGTAATTAAAGGACCAGGGCAATTTATGGAATGACAAAAAGGACTACCGAGGTTTCATCTGGCAAGGGAAAAAACCAAGGATAAAATCTAAACTTTTAATAGATAAAAAAAGAAAGAGGTGGATTCTCAATGCCAGATTTGAAACTCTATTACGAGGCATCCTGCCTGTGTTGGTTGAAAGAGTGGATAACATTGGAAAATACGGATTTACTAGACTTGGAAGGTTATGATAACAGATTTGGGTGGCATTCTTATCTTTGGTATGACACAGTGAAGTTTATAAAGGGTTTCTAAATCACTTGATAAGAAAGTCAATTTATGAAGTTTGGGACAAATATAAAAATCTGTTAGAACGGAAAACACCATGGTGGCTATCTCCAGTAGGGGCACTGACTGTTAAAAAATTAAATATTGAGGGAAGGTGGGCCACCTATGGTGAGATATGGATGGAAACCGATAAAGTATTAAAACTTCAATCATATAATCAAATAGAATAAGTACTTAGGAGTTGGTTGCAATATCATCAAGTAAATGATATATTTAATGGAGATAAAAGAAATTTAGATTTCAAAAATAAAAAATCTAGATTTCAAACCGAATTGTTGGAGCTCAAAGTTAAATTGCTATCAGAGATGTATACAGTGGTACCTCGAGTTGTATACGCTTCAGATTACAAACTCTGCTAACCCAGAAATAGTACCTCGGGTTAAGAAGTTTGCTTCAGAATGAGAACAGAAATTGCTGTGCGGCGGTGCAGCGGCAGCAGGAGGCCCCATTAGCTAAAGTGGTGCTTCAGGTTAAGAACAGTTTCAGATTAAGAATGGACCTCTGGAACAAATTAAGTACTTAACCTGTGGTACCACTGTATATAATTTCTTTTTTAAAATTTCTGCACAAGTGACACACACACACACACACACACACACACACACACACACACACACACAACTCAAGAGCAGTATTGTTTCCCCAGCAAAGAGTACCTACATAGAGTGGGTTCAATGACAGTCAAGGCCTGGAGCTCAGAAGGAATTCAGCCTGGGACTTCCCTCCCCAATATGCATTACCCGGGAGTCCCATTACTTACCAGTATCCATATCTCTCTGAGCTGTGGCTTTTCTCTCACAGATGTTGGGGTTGTGCCAGATGTTTTCCTCACCCACAATGCACACGTCCTGCTCCTTAGCAGTGCCAGGAACTGTCAGCACCATGATTTCCCAGGGGGATCTGCAACCTCTTCCATGAAGAAGTGGTATCTCCTTTTCCACCTCGACTTGGTGGGCTTCCTGATGACCCTCAATTCTCTTGTGGATGATGGGCTTTGGCCTGATGGGTTCCCCATAGACAATGCACAGGTCTGGCTCCCTAGAAGTATCAACCATCATCATCCTGGCTGTGGCATCAACAACGGTCTGGGCTGGAGTTTTACTTGGGACACTGGAGTCTCCTTTGCTATCAACTGGACCCTCTACTGAGTGGGTTTCTTGCAAACATTCCTTTCTCTTGCAGGTGTTGGAGTACTGCCAGATGTTTTCCTCACCTACAATGCACACATCCTGCTCCTTAGCAGCACCAGGAATTGTTTGTACCGTGATTTCCCAGGGGGATCTGCAACTTCCTCCAGGAAAAAGGGGTACATGCTCCTCCTCCTCCTCGACTGGGTGGGCTGGGTGGGCTTTCTTCTGACCCTCCGTTCTCTTATGGACGATGGGCTTTTGCCTGATGGATTCCCCATAGACAATGCACAGGTCTGGCTCCTTGCAAGTATCAAACATCATCATCGTGTCTGTGGTCCAACTGGGCTCCTTGCAACCTTCTTCTTAGCCACAGGCGTCTTCTGTTTCGTCTACTGGCTGCCGCTTTCCCTTTGCCTGTTTAGGAAAGTAGATTGTTAGAAACAAAGCATCTTGAGAAACAGGAAATACAGAGAATTAGAAGCACAGGAGTATCCCCGTATGCACACTGGACACTCACTGGTTTAGGAAAACAGCTCAGAAAGGAATCTTTTCCTTCATGATCCTCATGTACACAAGAGAATAGTAACTTTGGCCACTTAGCTCAGTACTGTCTACACTGACGGGCAGCAGCTCCCAGGGTTTCATATGGGAAGCCTCTTGCAAGCCCTACATGGAGATACTGGGGACTAACCTTGCCACCTTCTGCAATGCAAGGCAGGCACACCACCATTGAGCTGCGTTCTTTCCCCCTAAGACTCTTTTAATCTTTGCTCCAGGAAATGTTGCAACCTCCACCTGCAGAAGCCCTAATACACATCCTATCCCTCTTTTCCTTTTTGTTGTGGACTCCAGGCTGCAGCTCTGTCTTAAGCAAGCTCCCCCTTCTTAGTGAAAAATGTGAATAACACAAAACACAAATGGCAAGAGGATGTCTTCCGGACCCCACCCCATCTTAACCTCCCAGGGGAAGAAATCTCTCTCTTGCACCCTTCCTTGCTACCCACATTCCTCCTCCTGCACAATGAGAAATCCCTTGTTTTCACTTTCTCATTCTTCCAAAGGGCTGTCACCCTTTGACTCACCCAGGTCCCCTTAGGGATGCTGCCGAGGGCAGTGTTGTGTCCGTGTGATCTGAAGTCTGAAGTGAAACAGACAAAGGAAGATCCCTAATCGTTAATAGGGAGAAATCTGTGCTTTCTAAAAGGGACAAAGTGATTAAACGTGAGATTGTAGATATATGATCTTCTCAGTTACGTTTCTGAAAGTAAAGCTATTTGGAATATAAATAGTCTGGATATTGCACATGATCAACACACAAACACGCCAACCTTTTTTCATGATCCCCGCCTAACGCTGACCTTCATTCCTTCTGCCTAAGACTCTGTTGATATTTGCTCCTGAAATGTAGCAACCTTTACCTGAAGAAGCCCCAAAACACATCCTGTCTGTACCTCTTTCCCCTTCTGTTATTGACTCTGGGTTGCAGCCCCGCAAGGACTCTCCCTTCGGCAACCGAGGCCCAGAGAAGCAGCCCCTTGCAGAGGTGTGAGATCAAGTCTGCATTTCAAATGCCACAAAGGGGAAGAGAGAGGGGGAAAACAGGGACCCCCAGTTCAGAAATTTCTACCCAATTCCAGCATGTCTTATCTTGAGTTCTTGGTAGGCTCCAGCTCACCTATTCTGGTAGACACTGGTCAATTCACAGACTTTCCTTCTTCATCTCAAGCCCCTTCACTGTCCAACTTGGGTTTTTGCTCAGCTAAATGGATCCAGGTGTTGATCGTTTATGTGGGAAGTGCAAAGGCTGCTGGGAATTGGAGTTCACAGAAAAACAAACTGTTGGAGTGAGGAAGCATGACCTGAAAAGAGAACTCAGACAGCAGAGATAGATAGATAGAGCAATGGATAGATGATAGATAGATAGATAGATGATAGATAGATAGATAGATAGATAGATAGATAGATAGATAGATGATAGATGATAGATAGATAGATGATAGATAGATAGGTAGGTAGATAGAGATCCTCTTTTCCCTGTGCACTTTGATTTATTGCTTTCTTGTTTTGTTTTGTTTTGAATTTGTTGTTGCCTGGGCTATTGTCCTCCATCTTAGGATGATGCAGCATTCAGCCATCTAATTGGACGTGTAGATGGCGCTACTTAACTGGCCAGCTCACCCCTTCAGACAGACAGTGGTGAATTAACAAAATTTCCTTCTTTATCTCAAGCCACTTCACTGTCCCTCTTGGGTGTTTGCTCAGAGAAATGGGGCCGGGTGTTAATCGTTTCTGTGGGAAGTGCAAAGTTTGCTGGGAACTGGAGTTCACAGAAAAGCAAACTGCAACAGGGAGGAAGCGTGATCTGAAAAGAGAAATTAAACAGCATAGAGACAGACAGAAATGCCCTCTTTTCCCCTCCTGCCCTTTGAGCTATAGCTTTCTTGTTTTTTGTTTTTGTTTAAATTGTGGCCCGGTTTCACATATTGTCAATATAATAACATCAACTTTTGTGGTTTTTTTAAAAAAATCTTTTGACCCTGGTAATGTTAGCTTGACCACAAGCTAGTCCAGCGTTCTATTTTCTACAGTGGCCAATCGGATAGTTCTAGGAAGACCAGTTACTGGACGTAGAAGACCCAGAATCTGGTGTTCAGAAGTTGAGGGGTCCTGAACATGATGGTACTATTGTGCATCAAACCTTTTGTAGCAATGAATTTTATACACTGTAGGGTTGCCATATGTCTGGGGAAACCTGGACATGTCCTCTTTGGGGGCGCAACATGCCCACCTGGGCAGACTTTTTCTTTTTAAAGGAAATGTCTAGGTTTTGGGAGGGTTATTTGGGCTCAGGCAGCTGGAGACAGGCCTGCTGCTCCAATGGTTTTAACTGTTTTACATTTGTGTGTGTTTGGTTGTTCTCTGTTATTATTGAGGGAGTGGAGATGTGTCTGGAAGGAGAGGAGCTGGGAAGAATAGCAGGGTCCCCCATCACAGTGGTTAAGGGTAGGGGGAGTGGAGGGAGACCGGGTTATGCCCAGATGGCACACCGCCTGCTGGTGTTAACCCTTGCCGGTCTTCAAGCCATCAGGCTGAAGCCAGATAGACGGATAGGACCAATGCCTAAGGCAATACCGCTCTTACCTGTAACCAATAAAGTTGTGGCCAATTTTAGCCCATTACCCTTAATTATGGTGTCTTATGTCGTTATTTACCACTGGTGGGAGGCGGGAACTCGCCACACAAAGGAGATGCCTTTTCCAGAGTTTGTTGTACCGGAGGACACTCAGAGTTCCCCAACCTGGGGAATTGATGATGGTTGAGAGAACTGCTGGTTTTGGGGGACATCAATGTGAGCAATTTCACTCCTCCGATACTGCAGATGAGATTGTTGGAAATCACATGCCTGTTTCGGACGATGGTGGGAAAGGAAGACAGTCTTATCTCTTCTGCTGTGGGTCCTATTATACTGTACTTTCACTTTTATTTCTTTCTGTTTGTTCTCTCAGAGCTGGAGAGAACGGACGTCATTATGCTTTTGTCTGTACCTAGTGTGTAAATAAATAGTAGGTTAGCTCTACGATGTCTCACGCTTCTTGCTGTGTTTTGCCAAAAGCTTAGTGTGCATATATCATTATGATGCATGTCGCTAGAAGCACATTGGAGAGGAGAGAGATGCCTTTTCCAGAGCTGAGCGTACTGGAGGACGCTCAGAGTTCGGGGGGCTTGCAGGCACCCCCAGGGCATTTTCCAACCATCAGCACCAAGGCGACTGGCTGTGGATGTCATGATGACCATGGGTCTGTCCCCACATGTCACTGCCCGAGGCATGTGGCCGGCCACACTCTGGTCCTTGTTTTATCAATTGGGCTGTAAGAGGGTGTTGCAAAAATGGGGGCTATTGACAGCAGTCCCATTTAGGGAACCTGAGAACAGGCCTTTCCTGAGGAGCCTCCTCACTCCTGGAACGCTCTTCCCAGGGAGGCTCTCCTGGTGCCTTCCATCCTTCCTTATTTTTAGGCACCAGCCTTTCAGCCAATGAGTGATTTCAGAGCTGTGAGTGATTTGTGAGTGGTTTAGATACCAGGCAATAGGAATCCTCTGAGTCCTCAAAAGCTGCTTCTCCCTTCCTTTAAGTGTACTTATTCTGATCCTTGTGCCTTTATCAGCTGTGTAGCAGGCAGAATTTCAACAGGTTAAGCAATTTCTCAAAGGGAAATTTAACTATGGGGAAGCTTTTTCATTCTGTCTGTCACAGTTTCAGTTACTGGTGTGGCCAATGATTTATGGTTGATAAAGTCTTCATATATACAGAGGACCGAGTCTTACTAAATAAAATCCAACTTGTCTTCTGCAATTCACCAATCTTTTAGGGTTCTTTGAGCAGCTAGGGCAAAGTGGTTTAACCATCAGTTTCTCTCCCTCAGTAATGCTGGAAACTGTAGCTCTGTGAGGAGAATAGCAGGTCTCCCCTAACCCATCTCAGCACTCTTAACAACCTTCAGCTCCCAGAATTCCTTGGGGGAAGCCATGACTGTTTAAAGCAGTATCACATTGCTTTCACTGCATGGGAAACCCAGCAATATGGGCGGGGTATAAATAATAAATTATTATTAATATTATTATTCTTTATAATTATTATGTTGTGAATGTGTGCTAAGTGTGCTGGAAACTGCAATCTAAATTGGAAAGCTGAATCCATTTTTGTTGTGAGGAGTCAGAGAAAACAGAAGAGTACAAACTGTAATATTTATACAACTTTATTATTCAGGATTGGTAGTCTCAAAACAAATCTAAAAAGCAGAAGCAGCTGCTGTGCCAATTTTACATTTCCAACAGGGTAGCCTCTGAAGCCTTTCAAACTTCCCTTCCTTCCTTGGGTCAATCCTTCTCTTTGGTTTCAAAAGCCTAAAGAATCACGTAAATTATCCCCAACATGGTTACTTCAGCCGGATGAATTTATTGGGGAGAAATTCCCAGTGTCAAGAGAGAAAGGTGCTGGTTGACTTTGCTCTGGCCAAGGAAAGAGTTGAGTTTTCTCTAGATTCTCCCAAGAGCAATTTTCATAGCATAACTTATTAAAATGAAGGCACTTTATTATATGTAAAAAAACTTATCAACTATCACATGGAATCCACACAAACAATAAACAACAACCCAGTTGAGGCAATGAGTTTTAGTCACTTAAAAGACTCAAGAACCTGCCCAAAGCATGTATTATGTGTGTGTATTGGGAAGTTCAGGTGGGGACAGGCCTCTGGGTGGCTCCTGCGACGCCCAAAAGATGGAAACCGAGGCTGAGGTCACATTTGCACCACCCCTTTAAG